CTGTGAGTTGCAGGCTGATACTGTTACTGACTTTTAAGGCTTTAAAAGATCTGTCTCCTTCATACCTCTCTGAACTCCTCCATGTATACACTCCCTCCTGTAGGCTCCGCTCAGTTGAGGCTGATCCCTTGTTCACTGTACTAGGGACAAAATCTCAGACTCTGAGAGCCTTCTGCCTTTCCTCTTGCTGCTCCATTGTTATGGAATGCCCTTACCTCAGACTCTATAGGAAACATATTCCTCGACGCTCTTCAAATCCAAACTCAAAACCCGCCTTTCCACCAGGGCCTACGTCTGATTGCCCTGAATTCGATCCTTATGAACCCGTTCTCATCTTTTTTCTTTCTTGTGCTTTTCATTGTGCTTCTTTTGTCTTTTTCTTTATCGTCACGTACAGCGTCCTAGAGCTTGGAAAGGCGCTTTAAAAATAACAGTTACAGCCCGCGAGAGAGCGCAGTCTAGACTCCACCAGTAACTCACTCCTGGAAAGCTGATCCAATTAGCTGAACGTCGTGCCGAATAAGTCCTAGGAAATACAGTGATCTCTGCTATTACGCGAGTTTCCAAAACACGAGTTGGCTCCTTACGCAATTGGTAAATAGGGAAAAGATGTCTGTATAACGAGAAACTCACATGGGTTCATCCCCGACATGTTTACGTTTCGCATCACGGGGTGACACAACTGAAGGCGGGGGTCCACGAAGGAATACATATGATGCTCACTGCTTTGTTTTGGAAGTGCTAATTGGGAGGCGCTCCTCAGTTTTCCTGCTGTTTTCACGGAATCTCCTGCATTGCCGTAAATATGAGCAGACAAGGTGGCAAGAATGTTGTCTTAAATGTGTGCTGGCGATACAATTTCAGGGGGTGAACTTGATGTGTATTTAAACTGCGCTAACGTTTGCATTCGGATCTTTATTAAATTTGGCAGAGCTTTGGTTAGGCATTTGGTTAGGTTCTGAGTGGTCTGCCCTAGCCCTGTTTTTCCCATAAGCCCTGTTATTTTTATTGGGCGATTTTGCACAACGCGAGGTTTAACCTCGCGACGGCAGAGACGCCTGCACTGGAGCCTGGGACCTGTGACCTGAGCCGGGGGCTTTCGGCAGCACGTGCCCCCTGTGCTAGCACGTGCCCTCCGGTGTAGCGAGGCTTGACCTGTGTCCGCAGGTCTCCGGGAAGCTGCGGGCCAGGCTGGAGCGGCAGGACGCCGAGATCCGAGCCCTGGGGGACTGCTTCCCCCCCGACCCCCAGGAGGCACAGGAGGAAGGGGGGGGGGACGGCTCGGGGACGGGGTTCCAGTCGCGGGCGGTGGAGGCGCTGTTCGTCAAGGTCCGCGGCCTGGTTCAGAGGCACCAGGAGGCCCAGGCGGTGCTGCGGGCCCAGGCGGCCCAGCTGGCGGAGCTGGCCGAGGCCCGGCGCCGGCC